TTTCCCCCTCTTCCAATTCCCCCTCTTCTTCCTTTTCCTCTTCCTCCTCTTCCTTCCTATTCCTCCTATTCCTCCTCTTTCTTCCCATCCTCTTCCATCCTCTTCCTACTTCGTCTTCCCTATTCCTCCTCTTCCCATCCTCTTCCTACTTCGTCTTCCTCCACCTCTTCCTCCACTTCTTCCTCTCTCCTTTCTTCTTCTCCCTCCTCTCTCCACGCGCGTAATTATGCAATGTAATCCTTTTCAGCAATCTAAACCAGGCGATTCTGTGAACGTGAGCTGTAGTGCGGACATTGACTCCATCTGGTCTACGTGTAAACTTTCACCGTATTCGTGTAAGTATTAAAAATGGCTCATCTGTCTATCTGTCTGTCAAATGTCTATCTGTCTGTCTATCTATCTCTCGGTCTCTCTCTCTCTCTCTCTCTCTCTCTCTCTCTCTCTCTCTCTCTCTATCTAATCTATCTATCTATCTATCTATCTATCTATCTATCTATCTATCTCTCTCTCTCTCTCTCTCTCTCTCTCTCTCTCTTACTTTAAAATAATTTTCATTTCTACCTGTACCTCAGTTTATAGTTACTCTCTCTCTCTATCTATCTATCTATCTATCTATCTATCTATCTATCTATCTCTCTCTCTCTCTCTCTCTCTCTCTCTCTCTCTCTGTCTTGTCTTTCTCTCTCTCTCTCTACATGTATATATATATATATATATATATATATTATATATATATATATAATATATATATATATATATATATATATATATATATATATTAAACCCGCGTCTGGATGGGAACGTGAGACGAAAGGCGTGTATGTAAAGACCTGACCTCTCCGTTTGACTAAATCTGACGCAAAATTTTCACAAGTGACGCCGAATTCCACTGGCTGCCGGCGGGAGTGATGCAGCCATGATATGTTGACAATGGCGTGCTTGCGTTTAGAAATGTATAGGGTTAAAACGGGTAACAACAGATGAAGCGTAAGTGTGCGTAAGTGGCGTAAGTGTTTCTGCCTCCCAGAGAACGCGGTTGGTGCCGTACTGGGCTACAGCGGAGAGTGTTTGCTTGGGAAAGGAGAGTCTGTATTGGACACGCAGAGGGCGACACAGGGTTTCTCTTTTCATTAGTATAGTCCAGGTTTAGGTCGAGAAATGGACAGGTGAATCGAGGGATAAGCCGGAAGGTAGGAAGTCGTCGATAAAAAGGGACATGGCATGGAAAGAATCCGCTTGTGAAGAACAGAAATGTGGCCTCAGAATTACCAAACAAGGATAGAACGACGACATATCCGTGTTGTTCTTTTCAAAAAATGATTCCAGACACAGATAGACGGACTGGAAGAAGATAGCGGAGACGAGAATCTTTACGTATTTTTTCTTTCTTTCTTTCTATCTATCTTTCTTTTTCTTGTTTTTTCTTTCTAACTTTTTTGTTTTTGTTCTTCTTTCTGAGATATGGAAATCGAAGTACAATAAAAGGTTATTTTCTTTCAACAACTTTAATTTCAACATGTTCGCATTGTATTACTGCTGAATATAAAAGGCGAGAGTACCGCAGAAGCAAAAACAAAACAGAACGGCGAAAACAACGAGCACATGCAGACAAAAACCACATTCGAAGTACATAAAATATATTTAAGACCCGAAAGGAGGAGGAAGGCGGGAAGGTTTCGTCCCGATAACCAATATGGTGAACAACCGATGGTTTAATCCGAAACAGTCAAAAGGAAAAGAAGAATGGAAGCCTTAGAGAACACAACCTTCAGAGGATTATTATCTACAAGGAAAATTGAAATGCTGAAGGGAAAAAACCAATATTGTGGCACAAATATGAAGGCAGAATCCCAAAGGTCTTTCTGGTGACGTTAGCGATGAAGAAAATTTGAACCAAGGAATTCGGGGGATAAGGTAAATGTGAGAACATTTGTGATATAAAGCGAAAAGAAATCAAAGAACACGCAGAAGAGTAAAAAATATATATATATAAAAAAAACAAAATAAATAAACAATAAGAAATTGACCTCATCTGAAACAGGACACTAGAGATCCGTACTCCATATAAGGAGCGTCCAATACTCTTCATAACCACAAAGATCCCGTCGAGATAAAATAATCGAATAAAAACATTTTGAGATTATTACAACAGACATGACACCGAGACCATATATGCTACTCTCTCCAGGAAAAAATAAATGAGGCGGAATACGAGTTCGAAATGACCACAAAAATACCAAGAAAAAACACCCAGAAACAAAATCACTTTTATCCTCTACCTAAAAACGAATAGAAAAATTGTCTGTCCTTACCTTTTTTTTCCTCGCCGTCGTCTCCCCTTCTCCCTGCCCTTGTCCTGGGCTGTTTTCCTCGTCTCTCTGAATACTTCACTTTGTCCTTCCTCGCTCAGCTGATGCAAGGGATGACTTCCAAACTACTGTGGTTAGAGAGTTGTGTGTATCTGGCCACTCTTTGATATTGCCATAATTCTATTTCCGTTAAGCTAAACATACGCTGATATAGCTTGACATCAACAGAACCGTCCACAACTACATAGATGCCCTACACCATATATAACACTGATCTATAAGTATAGATATCCATGTTACATAAAACTATAAGCCTTATACATATGATAGTATATAGCTATAAAACTACTACCAGATAATACCACTCACTCATAAGATAATATACTACTAGCCGGAAATATATATATATAATCACGTTATACTAATAATATATATATACCCGACTACATATACTATATACTAATACTATATATATACCAGTATACTAAACCCACATACGCAATCTACAACTATATATAAGCCTACCCCCTTCATACTAATACTACTATACGCTCACCTACATACCTATCACACCCTCACCCTCATACACTACTCCAATATACCAAGGCCTAGCCTATCATATACACCTCCCTCCGATAATACGCCCATATAATATATATATAATTATACTACTCTCACTACTATATATATATATAAATATATATATATATAGCTACCTACTTATCATATATATACTATATATACATATATATATTACTATATTATACTACCATATCACCTATATATATATATACCTCTTATTCACTGTATACTGTATACTGTTGCTTATATTAAACACTACTATCACATATGTACAACCTGACCCTACTATACTATATATCTACTTATTACTCAGCTATATACTATACTATTATATGCGTTACCCGGCCTATACCTATCACTACTCATACATATACACTTATATCTGTAATATTATACCCTATAGCTATACCTCTACTAATATACTCATACTATCATCGTACGCTATACAATCGTATATTACTCGTATAATATATATACTATATAATATCTATATATAACACACAACTACTACATATCTCGTATTACTATTAATACTCATAGTAGTATATAAACCCCCTCACTACACACTGCCCCCCCACCTCTGACTCTATGATCACTACCCCCCCCCTATACCTACACTGCGATCAGTACGCGGCGCCGTACTCATACCACCTATAATATATCGCTCCTACTCCCCCCGCTATCAGTCGCACCTCCTCACCACACGCTCACCTCACCTCACTCCATCAGCTATCTCACTACCTGTCTCCATCCACCCCATCATGTACAGGGCGCCTACCCTCATATATTCCCACCCTATATATATTATAGATATAGAATATACATTATGAAAATAAATATATAATAATAATAATAATATAGTAACATATAAATATATATAATAAAAAGTATATATATAATATATAATAATAATATAAATATAAAATATTATATGCATAATATATAGAATGAAATGATAGATATATATATAGATATACATAATATATATATGCTACATATATATCATGATATAATAATAATAAAGAATAATATATAATAATAATATAGTATAAATATAGTAATAACATATAATATATATATATATATATTATATATATCATATATATTATAATAATATATATAGCATAATACATATATACACAACACGACATATATATACAGTCAAACCTCAGTTCTCTTCGAACATAATTCGATCTATATTCCTGGCCGAAACCGATTTGTTCATGTGGAATAAGGCTGTTTTTGGAACCCGTGGACTAAGGGCTAAAGTATGCAAAAAAAGTGAAGATACGATGTGACGTACGAAAAAAACGGACGCCATCCGACAAAACATCGGCCAGCCGGTTTGGTTCGCCGTCGGCTCGACTCGTGTGTGTTCGACGAGTGAGGTGTTCAGCGAACCGAGGTTTGACATTATATATACATAATATAATATATAGAATATTATATTATATAATAAAGTTATATAAAAATATATAATATATAATAATATTAATATATATATATATATATATATATGTATATATATATATATATATATAATTATAAATTAATATATATATATATATATATATATATATATATATATATATATATATATATATATATATTATATAATATAATATATATAATATATATATATATATATAATATATATATATATATATAATATTATATATATATATATATATATATATATATATATATATATATATATATAGTGTGTATATATGTGTGTGTGTGTGTGTGTGTGTGTGTGTGTGTGTGTGTGTGTGTGTGTGTGTGTATATGTATATATATATATATATATATATTAATATATATATATATATATATATATATGTGTGTGTGTGTGTGTGTGTGTGTGTGTGTGTGTGTGTGTGTGTGTGTGTGTGTGTGTGTGTGTGTGTGTGTGTGTGTGTGTGTGTGTATGTATACGTATATATGTACATAAAATCTCACCAATACCGCTTTTAACCTACAAACCACCTCCTTTTCCTTCCACAGCAACCGACCACTGTTCGTCCAGGTCACCCTGCTTGACCTCTGACCTGCCAGAAGGGTTCAACGTCTACCTGTTAACCTTCGGCGGTTCCCTCACCCTCCTGCTCCTTATCCTCATCTTCTCTCTCTACATGTGCTTAGTCCACCTGTCCAACAAGCTCGTGCAAGGAGGTGAGGTCGAGCGTTTGTTTACCTTTTGTTGTTGCTGTGGCTTTATTAACTGTTTGAGGCTTATAAGGGATGGTTCATGTTTTTTATTATTATTATTATTTATTCATTTTTTTTTCCTTTTTTCCTCTTTTTTTGTAATGTATCGGTGTTATGTTGTACGATAGGTGTGGTTCTTTGTGTTTTTTGTATTTTATCAATTATCACTACTGTTTTCACTGTTATCTTTATCATTGTTGTTATCATTATTATCATCATTATTTCTGATACTGTTGCAACTATTACAGCTCTTCCTATCACAACCGTTAATACTACAGCCATTCCCTTTTTCATTGATATCAAGAACCATATCATTATAATTGTGGTTCTGTGTGTTTTTTATAATTTCATCAATTATCACTACTGTTTTCACTATTATCCTCATTATTTCTGATATTGTTGCAACTATTACAGCTGTTACTATCACAACCGTTAATACTACTGCCATTCCTTTTTCATTGATATCAAGAACCATATCATTATAATCATCATTATCCTCACTATCATTATTATCATATCATCATTACAATCTATTATCCTTATCATCACTATTATCATAATCATATTATCATTCCATCACTATTATCATCTTCAATTATTATCAATATCATTGATATTGTATTTATCATCGTCATCAATATCATATTATCATTATCATTATATTAATTTTATCATAACTATTATCATTGTTATTATCACCATGACGAACATCACCATCATTATCATAACAATTATTTTTCAGCATACGGTATTTCAGGGGAAAAAATCAGATATACATATTTATCTACTTTTTCCCTTTGACACCTGACATATATGAATTTAAAGGAATTTGATAAAGTCCTCAGAAAATGCGATTCATTATTAGTTTCAGAATAAGAATCCTTACAAAATAATTACAGCAATAAAAGAATATCTTCGTATTTATGAAAGCGAAATGAGACTGAAGACAAAAGCATTTTGAAGCCTTATGATTCATTTCTTTGATAATTGCAAAATGTTGATAATAATGATAATAATAATGATAATGATAATGATAATGATAATAATAACAATGATAATGATATAATAATAATAATAATAATAATGATAATGATAATGATAATAATAATGATAATGATAATGATACTAATGATAATGATAATGATAAAGCTAATAATGCTAATAATGATAATGATAATAATAATAATAATAATAATAATTATTATTATTATTATCATTATTATTATTATTATTATTATGATAATAATAATAATAATAATAATGATAATGATATGATAATGATAATGATAATGATGATAATAATGATAATGATTAATAATAATAATAATAATAATTAATAATAATAATTAATAATAATATAATAATAATAATAATAATAATAATAAAAATAATAATAAATAATAATGATAATAAAATTGATTAACAATAATGATAATAATATTGACAATGATGATAATAATGATAATAATAAGAATATTAGCAGTAATGATATTGAGGAGAATAATGATAATAACGATGATAATAATTATAATGATAATAATAATAATAATGATAATGATACTACTACTACTACTACTGCTAATAATAATAATAATAATAATAATAATAATAATGATAATATAATAATAATAATAATAATAATAATGATAATAATAATAATAATAATAATAATAATAATAATAATAATAATAATATAATTAATAACAATAATAATAATAATAATGATGAAATGAAGCAATAAAATAATAATAATAATAATAATAATGATAATAATATAATAAATAAAATAATAATAATAATAATAATAATAATAATAATAATAATATAATAATAATAATAATAAATGATATAAGAAATAATAATAGTAATGATAATAATATGATAATAAATGAAATAATAACATCAACAACAACAATGAAAAAATAATAATGATAACAGTAAAAGTATAAGAGAAAAAAAACAATGATCACAATGATAATATAACAATGACAACAATAATAATAGTAATAACAATAAATAATGATGATGAAATAATATAACAACAACATCAACAACAACAATGAAAAATGATAATGATAACAGTAAAAGTATAAAGAGAAAAAAAAGTTTACGCAAGGTAAACATACCTCAGTGGAAGGCCGGGAGAGGCGGGGTAGGTGGTGGGGGAGGGAGGGGGGGGTCTTATCATCTGCATAAAGATAAGAGATTCTTTCGGCATTTTGAGTTTTCATTTCTTTTTTATTTCTTTTATTTTACTTTCTTGTTTATTTTCTTCTTATTTTTTTATATTTATTTGTCTTTCTCTCATTCCTTTAGTTCTGTTTCTTTTTATTCTGCTTCTTCTTGTCCTTCTCCTCCTCGTTCTCCTCATCGTCCTTCTTATTATTCTTATTCCTATTCTTATTCTCATTTTTTCCTCTTTTTCTACCTCCTCCTTCCTATTCCTCCTCATCTTCTTTATCCTCCTACTCTTCCTACCCTTCCTTTTTCTTTTTCTTTTTCTCGCCTCATTTTCTACCTCCTTCTTCCTCATCATCCTCATCTTCATCTTCTTTATCTTCCTCCTTTTTTTCCTCCTCTTTCTCTTCATCTTCCGCTTCCTCTGTCTCTTCGTTTTCTTCTTCTTCTTCTTCTTCTTCCTCCTCTTCTTCCTCTTCCTCTTCCTCCTTCTCCTATTCCTCATCCTCACCTTTATCATCTTTATCATCCTCCTCTTCCTTTTCATCACAGCCCTCCTCATCATCACTATCCTCATCCCATCCTCCTCCTCCTACTTTTTCCTTCTTTTTCTTCTCCTATTCCTCCTCCTCCTCCTCCTTCTCTTTTTCCTCTTCATTCTCGTCTTCTTAAATTTCTTCTCCTCCTCCTCCTCCCTCCTCCCTCCCTCCCTCCTCCCTTCTTCCCTTTCCCTCTTCCTTCTTCCTCCTTCCTCCCTCCCTCCTCCTCCTCTCCCCCTCCTCTTCTTCTTCTTCATCCTCCTCCTCCTCTCCAATTTCTTCCCCCTTCCCTTTTATCTCCCTTCCAGAGATCTCCATGAGGCAGACCCAACATGTTTTAAATTCTTTTCAAGCTTCTTTCGGAATTTATTATTTCTCGTTGGCTTTCCTGATTCCTCTTTTTCGTTGTTGTTTTTCCTTCCTTGTCATTCAATATATTTTTTCTTCTTCTTTTTCTCTTACCTATTGACGAGGAAAATCAAGTAGCTCATTTACCTTTCAAGAACGCTTCTACTCATTAAATTTAAAAAATCATTGAAGAGCTGTTTCTTTTTTTCCTTTCTTTTTCTTTTTGTTTCTAAGAGCATCGCACAGGTATCTCTCTCTCTCTCTCTCTCTCTCTCTCTCTCTCTCTCTCTCTCTCTCTCTCTCTCTCTTCTCTCTCTCTCGTCCTTTTCTTTTCTCCTTTTTTCTTTTTCTCTTCGAGTTCTATTCAAGAAGAAGGAGTAATTTCGTCACTTTATATTCAGTGATTTCCGAATCAGTAAAACTCATTCCCTAAATCTGCATAGGACGGGTGGGGGGGGAGAGGGGAGGGGGTTACGTAAGAGCGGGGGGTGGGGAGTGGGCGGGGTGGGAGGGAGGGCAGAGGGGCAGAGGCGGAGGAGCGCGGTAAGGGTAAGTAGGGAAGGGGAGGGGAGGGAAGGCGGTAGAGGGGGGGATAAGGAACCCTCCCCCCCCCGCCCCCACCCACCTTCCTAATGCTCCTTCTCCCTCTCCCGGAAGCCTTCGAAAAATGAAACTCCTCGGCCCGGCTTCTTTGTTTACTGCTCCGAGTCCCTCCGGCCCTTCGCTTCCCCTGGCAGAAATACCCATAATTTCCCTTTGATGTTTTCATTATCAAAGCAAAGAGGACGGGAGCGGATAACGTCTGCGTTTGGCTTCTGGTGCGGACCGTCTCGGAATGGTCTCCGACCGTGACATCTGAAGAGGACTTTTAGTCGTGATTTATCATTAACAAACGTGTACATGTGTGAGGTATTCGCATTTATGTGTGTGTGTGATGATGTATATATATATATTTATTTATGAATGCAAATGTACATCTGTCAAAAAAGATGTGCACTCATGTAGATTTAGAGGAAAATTGAGAAAAAATAGAGACAGAAAGACAGACAGAGAGAGGGAGAAAGACAGATATACATACTGACAGAGATTAGAACCAGACAGAGGAAGGAAAATAACAAAGACGACCAACCAAAGCCTCTTTATAACACGACAGTGCTTTTGCAATTCCGAATTCTCCAAAAGCTACAAATTATTACGTGAGTGATCACAGCTGCTCTAAACGACGAAATGCAATCACCAGAGGGAGGCTAACGACCGGCCACCTCGAATAGCCAATCAGCACGAGCCAAAACAGTAAGATAACAAGCGCCTGTTTCTTCCAGATCACCGGGTCACCATGTCGATGTTCGAGCCGTCAAGAGCCATGTGTAGCGAGAGTGAGAGTGAAGCGCGCTGCGTCCACTCCCCGCAGCCGCCCCCAGGGAACGGCCTTGACTCTGCGCTCGAAAAGGGGGGAAATGTGAATGAAACTGCCGATGTCTACGGCGACGCGGACTTCCCCTTGTCGACCCTAACTAGGCGGGGATCAGCCCACGACAGCGAGAACAGCTTGTACGGAGCTAATACCAAACCCTTAGAGTATTATGAGTGATGGGTAAAAAGGTGATTTCGTGGACATGTAGGTATTGTTTTAGTAGAATGTGTGTAATGACCATGTAATGCCTTTTTTGTTGAGTGTTTGATATATATATATTAAGTTTTGAAGTATATTTTGCTGAGTTGTGGATAGATATATAGTATGTACCAAGGAAAAATATATTGTTCATGAACCAAAAAGATGTTTATAATATACACAACGTAAGAAAATAAAGATAATAAAGACAGGAGAAAAAA